GCAAGAGGCCTAAATAACCATTTCACGGAGGATATCCAAATGACCGGTAATCATGAAGAGTTACTTAGCCATGTTAGTAATGAAGAAAATGTAAAGGAAACCAAATGGGGTACCATTACACACTTGTCAGAATGACTAAAATTAAAAAGACAATATGGGCCAGGCACAGTAGCTCACGCCTGTAATCCTACCACTTTGAGAGGCTGAGGGGGTTGGATCACTTGAGGTCAGGAGTTTGAGACTGGTGTGGCCAACATGGTGAAACTCCATCTGTACTAAAAATACAAAAGTTAGCCAGACGTTGTGGTGCACACCTGTAATCCAAGCTACTGGGGAGGCTGAGGCAGAAGAATTGCTTGAATCTGGGAGTCAGAGGTTGCTGTGAACAGAGATCATGCCATTGCACTCCAGCCTGGGCGACAGAGCAGGACTCCATCTCAATCAATCAATCAATCAATCAATTAAAGACAATATGAGTGTTAGCTAGATGTGGAGTAACTGGGATTCTCATGTGCTGCTTATAGGAGTGTAAACTGGTAACAATCATAGGTGAACACATATATACCTTATAACCTAGCAGTTTTATTTCTGGATATATGGCCTGCATGTGTTTGTATTGTGTGTGTGTTTATATAATATATAAAAGCATTAATACTTATATATAAACACACACAGTACACATATGTGCGCACCAGACATTATGTACAAATATATTTATAGCAGCACTATTTGCAAAAGTTGAAAACTAGAAACAACTCAAACGTCTGTCAGTAATAGAATGGATTTTGATGGTTATATGTTATATAATGGAGTGTTATAGCACGTAATAACATATGTATAATATAACTATTAAAACCAACCATCAGCTGCTACAGACAATAACATTAATTTCAAAACAATGCTGAACAAAAGAAAATATTTCTGTGAAGTTGAAAAGCAGAGAATACTAGTTTATGCTAAGGATGGTGGTTACCTTTGGGAAGAAGCCATGGTAATCTTTCTGTTTTTGAACCTGGGTGGTGATAACATATTTGAGTTCATAGTGTGATAATTTATTGAGCTGTACTTGTGATTTGGACACTTCTCTGTTCTATGTGAAACTTTATTATTAACTTTTTTTTTTTGAGACAGAGTCTTGCTATGTTGCCCAGGCTGGAGGGCAGTGGATGATCTCAGCTCATTGCAACCTCTGCCTCCCGGGTTCAAGTGATTCTCCTGCCTCAGCCTCCCGAATAGTTGGGATTAAAGGCACAGGCCACCACGCCCAGCTAATTTTTTGTATTTTAGTAGAGATGCCATTTCACTGTGTTGCCCAGGCTGGTTTGGAACTCCTGAGCTCGGGCAGTCCTCCCATCTTGGCCTCCCAAAGTACAGGCGTGAGCCACCGTACCTAGCCTAGTTTTTTGAGGCAGAGTTTTACTCTTATTTCCCAGGCTGGAGTGCAATGGTCCAATCTCAGCTCACTGCAACCTCCGCTTCCCAGTTTCAAGCAAGTCTACCTCAGCCTCCTGAGTAGCTGGGATTACAGGCATGTGCCACCATGCCTGGCTAATTTTTTGTATTTTTGGTAGAGATGGCTTTCTCCATGTTGGCCAATCTGATCTCTAACTCCTGACCTCAGGTAATCCACCCACCTCGGCTTCCCAAAGTGCTGGAATTACAGGCGTGAGTCCCCACGCCTGGCTAGCGACTGGCGTATTTTTTAAATTTTCTTAAAGGTACAGGCAATTCATCTGGAAAACAGAAAAAATATTTCTAAAACAAGACAAATAACAATTTAATATCTGTAGAAAACAGTTTCGACTTGAGGGGGAGGAAAAGACAAATAGCCCAAGAGAAAAATAGGCGAAGGATATAAGTAGATAGTTCAGAAAACGAGATGTCAAAATGGCCAGTATATGAGATACGCTCAGTAGTTCTCTGGAGTTAGAAGAATTATAATACTCATCACTAAGTGTTGGGCCTATGAAAATAGATGAGAAGGGTACACTTTTCAAAATTTGAATTTTAGGAAAGTAAACTATTCAAATTTAAAATACACATATCTCAGATTAGGCCAGGCATGGTGGCCCATGGCTGTAATCCCAGCACTTTGGCTGAGTCGAGCGGATCACCTGAGTTCCAGAGTTGAAGACCAGCTTGGCCAACACGGTGAAATCTCATCTCTATTAAAAACTCAAAATAGCTGGGCGTGGTGGTGCGTGCCTGTAGTCCCAGCTACTCAGGAGGCTGAGGCATAAGAATCACTTGAACCTAGGAGACAGAGCCTGTAGTGAGCCCAGATCGTACCACTGTACTCCCCGCCTGGGTGGCACAGTTAGGTTCTGTCTCAAAAAAAGAAATAAAATACATATATCTTCAACCCAGCAAGTCCCTCCTGGGAATAAATTCTATAGATATAAAAGCCTCACAAGGATGTTTACTTCAACGTTATTTTAATGGCAGAAACCTGAAATCAACCTAATGGCCATTAGTAAGATAATAGTTTAATAAATTGTGTTTTACAGTAATGAAATATCATGTAACTCAAAAAGATTGTTAATTTATATTTTCATGTATATGTAAAATTAGGTGAGAAAAGCAAAATGCCAAAAGATGAATACAGTATGATCTCTCTTACAGCAATAGTAAAAACTCCTATGTGTGTGTGTATGTAAGTTTGTACATGATTTATAAACATGGAGAGAGGTGTGAACGGCTACATACACCAAGCTCAATGTCACCAATGATTACCAGGGGAATGAGTGGAAGAGGATTGACAAAATAAAGGTATCATCTTGCATTGCAAGATGTTTGCTATCTCTGGCCCCTGCCCACTCAAATGCCTGTAGCACTCTCCCATCATTCCAATAACTAAAAATCTACCACCCCCACCCCCCATGTTCCAGAAGCCTTGAGGACCAAGTTGGTGCTTCTCTTGTTGAGAACCACCTAGTAAGAGTAACTGAAGTGTTTACAAAGATGATAGTGACTGAGCTAAATCTTGAAGGATGAGTGGGATTTTTAAACCCACTCTCTGGGAGGCAAAGAGTGTTATGAAAGAGGGAACAACATAATGTAGACTGCCTTGACTGATGAAGTGGCGTGTCTATGTTGGAAAATAGAAATAAAGTTGACTAGGTAGAGTGAAGTTAGAAGGGTGTTGAACAGAAGGAGTCAGACAAAGGTGAGAGGAGAGGGGAAAGTGTCATTTCTCTCTCTAATGCGTCCCACATAGTACTGCCAAGTTAATTTTCTAAAACATTGCCCTGTTCAACAGTCCACTCAATAATGCCTTTCCTGCATGCTCAAGGCATTTTACCTCATCGTATTCATCTAACTTTATCTCTTACTATACCTTAAAATTAATTAGGTAAGGCTGGCTAGCTGATCAAACTGATTATTTCCTACTTCCTTGTCAATATGCTCACTTCATGCTTTTATTAATGTCTTTTTCTATAAAAATCTATCATTCTGCCTAAACAAAATTTTGATATTCTTAGCAGCCTTCTTCCTAATGAAACTGGCCCATAGCACTCCATACCATCCTGATATCACCTTTCTTTCTTACAGTTTTTATGTTTTTTTCCCATAATATTTAGCATGAACCTATACTTGGCTTTTTATGCTTCTCATTCGTGTTTCACTGAATAATTTGTATTCTCCTAAAGAGTTGTGTGAGGTTAAGATACATGCCTCAGAATATTTTTGTAAGCCCCCAAAGTAGTTTCTGTTTTTGTTTTTTGATCATCCTAGATAGGCATTGCATTTTGTATGAAATTAGCTGATTAAGCAGTAAATACTGAACACCCTGAAAACTCAAATTGCGCATTGATAGATCACACTTTAATATTGCAGTATTTTAATGTTTCTTATTTTAACTTACCAAATATTTTGTATTTGGTTCAATAGCTAGATTTAATTATTTTGGGGCTTAGGAACCAAGATGGATATATCTCTGTGTCCCTGGCAGTGCCTAGTAGATTGCATTGTTGACAATAACTACTCAGTATTTTTGAGTTTGATTTATTTTATTTGCTTTATCAATTTGCCGTCACTGTAACCTTCACTGTAACCACGTTCAAACCATTGTTTTGTTTTGCTAACAACAGAGGCCACCATTAGGGCATTTGTACACCCAATAGTCCTATCCCAGTCCTGGTACCTTTTTGAGCCACACTTTCCTTTTCCTAAGTAATGTCATAGAAATTTGGATATTATACTAACTGGCAGTGGCCCATTTCTGCTTATAGAGAAATCCTGGCTTCAGTTTATTTGAAAAAAGAGTATTTGTCACATTTTGACCCTTTGTAGTTTTCAAACTTTTTATTCTCCTCATTATTCTTTGTCTGAGTGAAATCTTACCCACAATCTTACTATATTAATTAGATCAATTTGTTTTCTGAAAGGAGAAGATGGGGTGAAGGCAACAATCTGGAGCCCCACCTTTGTACTCCCTTTTCCTTCTCATTGCTCATCCAAAGAGCACAGCTTGAAAATCACTATAACTCATCTAATTTTACAAATGCTTTTTAAAATACTTGTTTTGTGGTATTTCACTTAAGGACTTAGTTGAGAAATAGAAACATTTTAGTTTTAAAGTGATTTGTTTTAAGTACAAAGGGAAATGCTATGGAATACATTTATTGTTTCAGCAATAAAAGAGTTAATATACTAAGCAGCAGAGACTGAGATACTGCAACGGGATAGTGTTTTCTGTCTCTGTCATTTGTGGTTTAAGAAAAAGGGGGTGGTGTTCTGCATTTGAAAGGACTTTAATGAATGCTGTCAGTGTTTGTGAGACCTAATGGTCAGTATGGGAAAGGAGAGCCTGGAAAGTGGTCTAGCTGCTTCAGGATAGGTGGATGAGAGTTTGCTCTGATTGAACGGAATGTTCCACCGTGTTTCATCTTTATTCATTATCCTTTGTTCTTTAAAATCTGATATATTGACATAAAAGTAATTGTAGATATATGTATGAATGTGATTTATTTTCCTTTACATCTTTTTGTTGTGTACAGCAGGGCATATACTTCTCTTGTCTTGGTTGGATGCACAAATCTGTGTGCAGTGCTTTTTGCCCGTTGCCTAGACGATCACTTGGTTTCTCTGAGGATGTCTGGTTCTCGTAAAGAGTTTGATGTGAAACAGATTTTGAAAATCAGATGGAGGTGGTTTGGCCATCAAGCATCATCTAATTCTACAGTTGACAGCCAGCAGGGAGAATTTTGGAACCAAGGACAGACTGGAGCAAACGGTGGGAGAAAGTTTTTAGATCCATGTAGCCTACAATTGCCTTTGGCTTCAATTGGTTACCGAAGGTCCAGCCAACTGGATTTTCAGAATTCACCTTCTTGGCCAATGGCATCCACCTCTGAAGTCCCTGCATTTGAGTTTACAGCAGAAGATTGTGGCGGTGCACATTGGCTGGATAGACAAGAAGTGGATGATGGCACTAGTGAAGAAGAAAATGAATCTGATTCCAGTTCATGCAGGTTGATTATTTTCTTACTGTTAGAAAAGGGGTGTGGGGGGTATATCTCTATAATGTTTTAAAATAATTTAGTATTTATTATTTAAAGTCTTATTATATGTATACATCTGCATACATATATATAATATCTTGGTATGAACATGTACTTCTGCTGGGATTTTTTTTAATGTTCTAATATTCTGTAAAATTACAAAGACAACAAATAGCATTCATTTTGAAATATCTTGTGTTCTATATATAGATCTGCCTCAGCTTTGAAAAAATATATAGTAGTAATTTTATGTGTCATTGCCTGTGGTTTGCTTCATTCATTAACGTTCTGTATTCATATCAAAACTACAGAAGACATTTCTATAGTATGAAATTTTATGTGACATTTTAGTTTATAAAAGATTATAGTCATTTTTTAATTAAATGAAATGGAAAGGTTTTACAAAGAGATGCATATTGTAGTTACCAATTTTTGGACACATTTGTAGTTGTCAGTAATATTTTTCTTATGGTTATTCTCTTTGTCCTGTCTGTGTTACAGCTCTCCAGACTAATATAGAGAATCCTAAGTAACATGTCTCTAAGATGACAGCTACTAATTCCTGTTACCTTCACTTTCACTGAAATGTGTGCTATTTGGGGAAATGAAGGACATTTCCTTCAGGAGAGTTTAAGGGAATGTAGAGGGGCTAGATGTGATTACCTGGTGAAAAGGGGATAGGAAGAAGGGGAAATCAGAAGAAAAATAAATAAAAAGATGGTAATTTTATAATGATTTTATCTACCTTTGTCTTGGAATCTGACTCTGTCTTTGAAATGCATTTTCTTATTAATCAGTTTAAACTACAATAAGATATTATGTAACAAGTTAGAGCATGAAAGTCATCTTTCTAAATCATCTTCATTCAAAAATTGTTTTAAGTATTTAAAGGCAAAAATAGCTTATCATTTGTCTAATTTGATTACTATATTTTTCTTTTAAAATTTCTGTGCAGCTTTTGATAACACTTCTGATTTGTAAGTTGGTTATTAAAGATGTAGGCACATAGGGATTGAGACAAAATGAATTTATATATTTAAGTATCTCTTACTTGAGGATATTTACCACGTTTTTGTCTTATAACCTTAAGAACTTGGAATTGGAATGATAAAAAATATATAGTCTGGTTGTCTGCCATCATTTGCTTAATGGAGAGGGGAATATCTGTATGTAGGTAAATAGTGTATTCAATTTAAATTTTTTAAAATTAGTTCACGACTTGGCATTATCTTAAGGAAATAGAAGCCACTAATAATTTAATTTGGACATCAATTGAGCTAATATGGTTTCATTGTTTTATATTTTCTTTGAAGACTTGTTGCCATAAAGAGAACAACTTATATAGTAAAAGATTCATTATTTTTGTGGAGAACCAAAGAGTAAATGGTTCATTTGAAAGTAAATATATCAATAATATTTTAACAAAATTAGAAAAAATAAAACATTCATTTACCAACATAAGTAAATTCACATATAGAACTCTTAACATGTATCTGCTACAGGAGAAATTATAATGTGAATATAAAATTTTTATACGTGTATAATCTTGGAAAAATTACACACACACTGGTTACTATAATTCCTTACAACAAAGGTAGTTTGCATGGCTAATTATTATTTAAATAAAATTAAGCTATTCTTGAGTATGCATACAGAAATATTTTGGTAGGATATTCACTATGAAAGAAAAATATTGTCCTTTTTTGACTGAGAGATTGCTATGTGCATTCTTCAAGAATTTTAAATTGACATTTTTAATTTATAGGAGATATAAAAATAAAATGATATTTAAAAAATGTAAAATAAATGAAATTGTTTAAAAAAATGCTACTCAAGAAGACTCATCAAAGTAAGATGGATGTAGACAGTTTACACCTTCAGTAATCAAACTGTTCCAAAAATAAAATTTCAAAAATAAAATGTACTGCAAGAAAATGTTTTTGATTTTTAGATATGAGGAGAAATATGTCAAAGCAATTTAATATTTCAGATGGTTTGAAATTTCAATCTTATTACAAATAAGAAAAAAAAATTCAAGATTTTAGAAATGTCCTTTGTGTGTATATTCTTTTTCTCCATTTTTTTCCTAGATTAAATAGATTTAATTCCTACATCTTCCTTCAGCCCCCTGGCTCTGAGTCTTTGACCTTTATCATAAAGATACATTTATTTGCCCTCAGCTTTTTTATTAAGTGAGCAGTCAGACTTCTCTAAGTAGTTGTCCATCTACTATAAACAAATCAAAGCCTATCACTGTTAATGTCACATTGACATTCATCAACTTTTTTTTTTGAGATAGCGTCTCACTCTGTCGCCCAGGCTGGAGTGCAGTGGCACAGTCTCGGCTCACTGCAGCCTCTGCCTCCCAGGTTCAAGCCATACTCCTGCCTTAGCCTCCCAAGTAGCTGGGACTACAGGTATATACCACCACAACTGGCTAATTTTTGTATTTTTAGTAGAGACGGAGTTTTACCATGTTGGCCAGGCTGGTCTTGAACTCCTGACCTCATTCTGGCCACCTCAGCCTCCCAAAGTGCTGGGATTACAGGCGCAAGCCACCATGCCTGGCCTCATCAATTTTTTTTATGTAACTTTAGAATAATTCTTTTTCTTATATAATATTTGCAAATAATGAAATATATAGTAAACATTTTGAGCATACTACAGATTGATATCTTAAAATATTAAAGACAATTAGGAAATACATATGATATACTAATTATTTGTTTTAAGCATCATAATATTTACTTAGATTTCAGAACTTAAACTGAAATTTTGAGTTATTAGAAAAAGGGGAAGACAGCTAAGTGGTTTTACATACTCAGAATCTCATTAGCCATGGTGGATCTGGACAGTTTAAAGCAGGAATTAAGAGGCAGCATATGCTGATCATGTTTTATCAATTGTATTCTAACAAGGAAAAATGTCTGCCTGAATCTTAGACTTCTGGTAATTTCTATTACCATTCACCTAAGTGATTTAAAAGTTTCTTGCCTTTGAACTTTGATCTTGTCTCTGTAGCCTAGCTACCTTTTCTCTATGAGAGTCATCCAAATCATTACTTTGGTATTAAAATACAAACTTAGTCTTCTTATAATATGAGGAATTTTAGATCTTAAGTAACAGAGTTGTCACCTTTTATGTGAGCAATAGGATCCGAAGTCCTTAATTGAGGATGAATTCATACCAGGGTTAGCAAAATCTATATGGTGGCCCACTATGTAACCATAGTGTAAATATGGTTTATACATCCCTTGATTTATTGGCCTTGACATCATGTCATTTTTGACATATTTTCAACTGGAAGAATTTTATTTCAAATTTCATTTATAAAGTTAGAGCTTAATATCATCAGGCTATTTTTTACTCCTTTTATATACAATTTTACTGCACTTTACAAGTACAGATGCTTCCTGACTTAAAATTTTTTAACTTTATGATGTTGATAAAGCAACATGTATTCAGTACATTCTGTGACTTGCAACGAGGTACATCCCAATAAATCCACAATATGTTGAAAAAATATATTTTCAATTTTTGATGAGTTTATCCAGATACAACCCCATCATAAGTTGAAGAGCATCTGTGTTAAAAAATAATCATTGCTGATAGTAAACTGGTGCTTCCTAACTGTGAGGCGCTGTTCTAAGCACTTTACTATATTAACTCATTTAGTCGTCACAACAAATTCTTGAGACAGGTTGCTACTATTATCAACCTAACCTAATTCTAATTTTATAGGTGAGTCAAGTGAGGCACAGAAAGGCTAAAAAACTTGCTCAAGGTTAGTAAGTAAAATAGCTGCATTTTTTAAAAAGAAACTTTATTTTTTAAGAACCATTTTACATTTACAGGAAAATTACAAAGATGGTACAGTAAGTTTCTATATACCCTCCAGCCGGGTTCCACTGTTACTTGTATCTTACGTTAATATGGTGCGTGGGTTACTAGTAATGAACAAGTGGTGTTACATTATTGTTAACAAAACTCTATTTTATTCACATTTCTTTAGTTTCTTACCTAATGCCCTTTTTCTGTTCCAGGATCCTATCTAAGATATCACATTACATTAAATCATTAAGTCTCCTTAACCTCCTCTTGGCTATGACAGTTTCTTAGATTTTACTTGCTTCTGATGACCTTGGCAGTTTTGGGAGTACTAATCAGGTTTTTGTAGAATGCCTTACTCAGTTGAGGTTTGTTTCCCCATAATTAGACTGAGGTTGTGGGCTTCAGGGAGGAATACCACAGAGATAAAGTGCCATTTTTATCACATTATATCAAAGATACACACCATTAATCTGACTTATCACTGTTGGTATTGACCTTGATCACTTGGAAATAGTTGCATTTTTGAACTCAAACAATGTTGTAGATTTCATGGTCTTAAAGAACACTGTGCTATTAACGTATTGGCTGCATTCCTCTATGACATTCGTTTAATCACAGTTCAACTGTAGCACATAGCTAATTATTCATTATAACCAGTTTCACCTTCTTTCTTCAGTTAATTCTCTTCTCTTAGTTCTTGAGAATGCCAAACTTTGCTAGGTTACAGGAATAATCTTTTAACTCACCCAGAACTCTTTTTGTTTTACTTTAAAATTTATTTTTATTTTTATTTTTTATTTTTTTGGTGTGATGGAGTCTCATCCAGGCTAGACTGGAATGTAGAGGCGAGGTCTCGGCTCACTGCAATCTCTGCCTCCTGGTTTCAATCGATTCTCCTGCCTCAGCCTCCTTAGTAGCTGGGATTACAGGCGCATATTACCATGCCCAGCTAATTTTTCTGTATTTTTAGAAGAGATGGGGTTTCACTGTGTTGGCCAGGCTGGTCTCGAATTCCTGAGCTCAAAGGATCTGCCCACCTCGGCCTTTCAAAGTGCTGGGATTGTGTCAGCCACCACACCCAGCCCCATAACTTTATCCACAGTCTTCTCACCCATCTTACTGGCTGTTTGCCTCTCTGTCTTTCCACTGCAAATATCGCAAACTCTTCTATTCCTTGGTCAGCTGATTTGCTACTCTTCAACTCATCCTGAAGGCATAGGTCCTCCTCCTCTCCCAACAAGAGGTTATCTGCATAATATCATCATTCCTCTTGGGCATTCTCCTTTTTCTTGATCTTTATGTTGTCTCTGCATCTATTGTTTGATCTGGGCTACTAATTCTGGTTCAGTTTTAAATTAAAATCCTCTAATATGTTTCCAAAGGTGGCAAAAAAGTTTATATAATGATCTTGTATCTAGAAAGGATAATATTGCATTGTCTCCCCTCTCACATATATGCCCACATCTTATGGACTCCATTGAGAATGTGACATAAGCTATGTAACCTCTCCCCAGAAAACTCTGTGTGTGTGTGTGTGTGTGTGTGTGTGTGTGTGTGTAATATATAGGGTTTAGGGAGTTCATGAACCCTCTGAAGGCTATCTGTATGCTGTATCCATCAAAGTTCTTAATTTTAAGCAACTGAAGTTGACTGGATGATTTAAACAGAAATAGGAAATTATTGAATCATAATAGTTCCCAGAACTGCTGGGAAAGCTGAAGAATTGGCATATGAAAAGGATAGGTCCTATAGTTATACAACTGACCTTTTAAACTCCAAATTCTTTAAGCAGAAAACCTGTTTTTATGCCATTTATTGCTCATATTTTATTTTACCTGTGTTTCACTTGGAACAAAAGAGTGAGGTCTTAAGTGTTTAGAATCAGATATATTAGGCATGAAAACAATGGCATGTGCACATACACACCCCTTACAGATAACTACATAACTACATAATTTGCTCATTTAACTTTGGGAAGTATATTAGTAAGGCATAGGCTAAAATGATATAACAAAGAGATTCAGAAACACAGTGGCTTAAATTAGATTAAAGTTTATTTCTCTATTACCTCACAGGTGGGCAAGTGGTCCAGGGCAGATAGATAGCTCTGCTTCATGATTCAGAGACCCAGATTCCTGTCATATTGTTTCTCCATTCTGTAGGATGTTATCCTTTCTGCATGATTGAATCTTACTCAGCTGTCCCTCAGCGTTCCAACCCGTAGGATGGACTGAAGAGAGGAAAGGGAAGACATTAAGCAAGTGACACAAGTTGCATGTATCAGCTCTGCATATATTCATTGGTCACATAGCCACAATTAGTTACAAAGGAGGCTCAGAGATAGAGTCTCAACCTGGATAGCCATGTCTCCAGCTAAAAGTCATTTATTGTGGTAGATATAAGAATGGACCTGGGGTTATAATCAACAGAGTGCAGGAACTGAATTCAGCTGAATAGAGCCCTTCAGACTTCTTTGGATATCATTTTTAAGTGAAATTTTCCCTATTACATTTTATATATGTGTATATATTTTTTTCTTGCCATAGAGCCATCAGAAAATAGAGATAAGTGAAAATGGAAAAAAGTAAAAATCACCAAAAAACCCAGCCACCTCAAAATACTGTTAATTTGGGGAAATGCCCTTCTGGTATATTTTCTATACATGTATAATACGTTTTTAAAATAAAAATCTCAGTCTTATTGGTCATACTGTTTTGTAGCCTGCTTTTTTTGCCCTAATATAATTTTTTAAGTTAGGACTCTCGGTTGCAAATGACAGAAGCCCAAATCAAACTGATTTAAGCAAAAACTAGAGATTTTTGGTTCACATAAATAATAAGTCCAAAAATACAGTCTAGTTTTAGACACGACTGGACCTAAATGATCAAATAACACCAATAATCTGTTTTTCTCCATTTCTAAATTCTGTTTTCCTTTTTGATGGCATTATCTAAGGCAGTCTTTCAGTGTGGTAGTGAAAAGGCCATTAACTGCTCCAAGTTTTACTTTTTGTCAGCTTAGCAAGCTCAATGGAAAGAAAGTGATATTTTTCCAAGAGTGTGTTCAAACATCATGAAATTGACTCTGATTGGTCTTGTTTGGGTCATGTGCCCACCTGAACCAGTTGTTATTGCCAGGAGATATGAAACTCTTATTGGCCAGGCCTTATTGGCTTCTCCACCTCTGACCATTTAGACTGAAGTAGGGGAATATGTGGTTTCTCAAAAAGTAGAGATGGGTTTTATTACTGTAAGAAGGAGGTCTGAATAGGCAAAAATAATGTCCACTAAACAACTCACCAGGCCATTAAATATTCTATATCTTTTCTAGTGGCTCCATCATTCTTCCATGTATGGATTGTCCTTTTGTTTTTTTAACCAGTATTCTGTTTTTTTTTTTTTTTTATTTTTTTTTTTCCAATATTTTTTTATTAGAAACAACCTGTGAAAAATCCTTCCTGTAGCTAGATCTCTGTACATATTGACGATTCTTTCCTTTGGACAAAAATCCCAAGGATGTTCTCATTTGAGGGTTTTGATTTGTATTCTCAAAGTCATTTCAGGAAGATTTCTATTTTAATTCTCACCAGCATTGTATTAAAAATGTCCATTTGCCCTTCCATTTCATACTGGTTATTTAAGAAAATTGGATTATTATAAACAGCATTTAACTCTCTTCACCACAGATCCTCTGGCACTATCCCAGAGGAAAAACACCCTATAAATTTCCAAATCAAAATACATTTCTCTTGAGGAGGGAATGGATAAAGACATCCATTTTCCTTAGCTCTTACTATTTCTCTTTACATAACTGCCTCGTTGCCTCCTTAGAGAGGACCACTTCCATAAAGGGGCATTTCCAACTCCTCTTCTTCCTCACCCATCTAAATGTCAAGACATATTTCAACTCTCACCTACTACTTGTTGACTTTCTAAACACTAGCCCATACTGATCTTCCCCTTTTCTGTATTCCAAGAGCAATTACATTCCAATTAAAGATGCACAATAATGGTTAAAAATATGTATTAAAACTTCTATTTATATTTTACCTTTTACATTTCTATTTTTATCTGTATATAATATAAAAATTATACAATGGTATCTATATCTTTTATAAATTAGTAAATACATATTTGGGTGTGTTCTTAAAAGTATACTGACAAAGGATATGTATCAAATTTAGAGACTGCTAGCCTATACTTAGTAACTTGTAGACTTGAATATTTGTAAAAGATGCCGAAAGAGTCATAATACAGTAAGCACACTTTTGCAAAAACATGAGTTCTGAATGCCACAGACTAGGAGTAAATCACTTAACTAGAGAGTGAGCCAAATATTTAGTTTCCAAACAGCTTTTTTCCCTACTTTTAGACAATATAACTTTTATAAATTAATTTTTAAAACTTCTTTTGAAAAAATTACTCCATTAAGAAATTCTAGGGTATATTCTGGCAATAAAAGTAGAGATCTAAATAGTTTGTAATAAAAAGGTATATTGGTCATGGTGTATATTATGTGAGCACATGTACATGTAAGCACATGTAAAATCTGGGGAATTATAAGAGTTAGAATGGCTATTTCACTTTTTCCAGTTTATGAAGCTTGACTCTTCAAATTCCAAGTCCCTTTACTAGGGAATAATATCTTTCTTAGCATCCCACAGTTTCTAACTGGTGCAGTGCTGCACATTAATAGTTGCTCTGTGAATATTTGGTGACTTTCTGTTTGATATTTGCCTCTTTTCTATGTTTAGGCATTTTTCTGACTTTAAAATTTATTGCCTACTGCAGAGAGAGACTTAAGCTACAAATTAAATGTTTCCGTGTAGACTAGAAATATTCAACAATGTATTCATTACAGTGAAAGTCTAATATAAAAGATTTGAATGATCTTATGTAATTTTTTAAAATACGGTTTATTAGTGTTATATAAATAAAACTAAGCAGAGATGTTAGATATATTTCCTCTGTTGATATGTAAAAGATAAAATGGAAATCAGAGAAATATATTTTAAATGCTTCAGGAATGGCCTATACCCAGATGTTTGTGTGGTGGGTTAGGGTGTCTACTGGGTTTGCTAAAAGCCATTTTAAATAAGAAGTATGAAATTTAGTTATAAAAATTGATAATGTCAGGGGTCTTTTTTTCTTATATTGTAAATTTATTGTTGCAGATTAAACTATGTAAAACAATGTGCTTATTTAAGTTTATAGCATGTTTTTTTTTGCCCCCATTTATTTTATTGCATTTTAGGTTTTGGGGTACATGTGAAGAACATGCAAGATTGTTGCATAGGTACACACGTGGCAGTGTGATTTGCTCAGGGATCTTTTTTTTTAAAAAAGATAACTACCCAAACAACATTACGTAAAGACAAAAGACTGTAATTACAGGCCTTCCCATTGGCCACTGAAAAGCAGGGTTCTACTAACAGTAGCTTACCTCGAGTGTGTGCTTACTCAGTGCTAGGTCTGTGCATGCATTATATCATTTAATAATCTTCCCTTGAGGGATCCCCTAAAAGACAGTACTATGTATTACTTATTTCTTTTTTACTGTTGAAGAAAGCCTTAGAGAAGTTAAATAACTTGTCCAAAATTATACATAGTGAGTGACAGAGTGAGAGTTGAACCCAGGTCTATAGGACTGTAGACCAGAACTGCACAATGGAACTTTCGGCATTGATGGAAATGTTCCATTCCGTATCTGTACTGTCCAGTTTGGTAGCCACTAGCCCCAAGAGGCTATTAAACACTTGAAATATGACTAGTCCAACTAAATAACTGAATTTAAAATTTTTATTTAAATTAAAATAGGCTCATAGGAGTAGTGGCCACTGTATTGGACAGCACAGCTCTAGAAACCTCCTAAATGTGCTTAATCGCTCACCAATACCTCCTTAATTCTCTTTGCCTATTACATGCTAAACAAAAGATGTAATAGGAAAAAGAAAGTAAGGAAGTGTTACCGGAGGTGCACCTGAGCGTGGGGAGTGCCAAAGAGAGACATGGGTCAGCATGCAGCACAAAGTTAAATTAGGAGGAACCAAGTTATGGTTCGTACAGGAAGGTGACTATGGTTAATAATGTATATCCCTCACCACAAAGAAATGATGAATATTAGAGGTGATTAATTTGCTAATTAGCCGATTTGAGCAGGTCATAACATATACATGTATTAAAACGTCACATCGTACCCTATAAATACATATAATTGTTATTTGTCAATAATATTAAAAATAAAACTATTTTTAAACTATGATGTTCAAATCTCACTTCAGACCTAGTGAATCAGTCTCAGGGAATGAAGCCTTGAACACTGAAACTGAAATGTTCCCTGGGTTATCGTGACTTGTTTCAGCATCTGAACCAAAATACCCTGAAAGTTCTTGACAAGAAAATTATTAACCGGGCATATGCCAACATCAGAAGTAGCCTATAATAGCAGTGATGATGGTATTACAAAGTTCTTTTATTCTTTCAAAACCTAATGTTGATTAGCAACTGTGTTAGATGATGGCAATTCATCACTGGAGAAACATTCAACTAATTTATTTGTTTAATCATTACTTATAATTTGATATGAAGCACAAGAAATGTGATACAAAGAAAGAAGTATTTGATTTATTTACTTGTTCTTGAATTTATGGCTTATAAAAATTAGGTATTATAATTTTCTCCCCTCCTTAGGTCACTAATGCTCTTATAATCATTTGTCAATATTTTAACAGTATAAAACTTTATTGAAAAATATTTTAGATCTTCAAATTATTCATCAAAACCACCATTATTTTTTTGCTTATGTTATAGTGTCTCCTAAATTTTAAAATGATTTATAATTCTCATTTATTTGTATAAACAATATATTATTACATACTATACAACCTATTTTTATAATAATGATCTTAAATGTGAGTATTACTTGACTTGGATTTTCCAAGTCATTTCATCAGTAATATTCATAGTGTACAACACATCCTTTCTAGATAATGTACATTTGACTTCTGTTGTCATTATTGACAATTATCCTCCAAGAGCATTTATCTGGTGCCCATGTTTGTGTGGTACTGAAAATAAATGGGACTGGGAGGATTTAGGAAGGAATATTTATCAGTTAAGGCATTGTTAACTTCTAAAACAGATAAATCTTGGTTCAATGTAAGTGTTCTTGCTTGAGTGATCTTTTATGTATTTTACTTCCTTGTCTAAGTCTTCAGTCCTCTCCATGCAACCTGTGGATAGAGAAAGAAAATATGGAAAAGACATACCTCTTCTTAGCCACTTTAAGGTGAACTGTGTGCTGTAACAGTTCATTTCCATAAGATCACACCTATTTGCTAGAGAGGCTGAGAAATGCAGTCTAGCTATATTCTCAGGGGCAAAAAAAAAAAGGATATTTTGGTGAACACATAACAGTCTCTGTCATAGCCTTGTCTCTGCTATGAATGAACTCTGACTCTTGGCAAGGAACTTAATCTCCTTGGCTTCTGTTCCCTTTACTTTAAAAGTAAGAGATCTGATGACTTTTTCTTTTTTGTTAAGGTTATTAGGTAGATGAACAAGATTCTTTTAAGATACAGTGGGGCTTGATTCAACAAAGCATTTGTCACAACCATAATATCCTTAAAAAGAAGATCTGATGAGAAATGAGAACTAAGTTATAGCACAGTCAGTGGTTTTATAGTTAATTGCATAACCAGCTGACTTTGATTACTTAAGTGATCCTGGAGAGAACTGGTGGTGAGGGTGGGGGAAAGTGTACTCAGGATTTCATTCTTAGTCCTCATCTTTTCACTTTTTCACAATTTTTATCAGTAAATCATATGAAAACAAACATAGAATTCAGACTCTTCAAATTATAATTTAGAAATTTCAAATAATTTTTTTAGACAGCTGTATTAGACTTTATCAAATTGCTTTAGCGTGTAATACAAGTTATAGGTTACCTGGGCATTTGAGGACTGGACAGAGAACCAAAAGAATTATTTATAACACTGTTTTTATGACAGTATATTTTTTAATGAACTGTGGAACATAACCCATTTTTAAGTAAAGGATGACTTGAATTTGTATCTCCAAAATAACTTAATTGCCTTTCTGCCTTCAAAGATGAGAATGATCTCTTACATCCTTAAATATAAGGTTAGGGGAGATATGGTTATCAATATGAATATAGCTTAGGTCTTTGTCAGTAGAGACATTGGCTTTAACAGTGAAAAGACCTCACAAAAGGATACTGCAAAGTAGTGTATAGCAATTAATTAACAGTTTATATTCACTCACAATGTTTGTAAGAAACATATGACTTGAGGCATCATAGATTTTAAGAGACAAAAACAGTGAATGATTATACATTAACATTGATAGGTACCATTGATTTCTTCTATTACATTTAAAGGCTTTCAAAGGACTTAATAGGAAAGATATTTTTAATATGACAGTGATATTTCAAAATGTGTGTTTTTTTTCTTTTCAGGACTTCTAATAGTAGTCAGACATTATCATCCTGTCATACTATGGAGCCATGTTCATCAGATGAATTTTTCCAAGCCCTTAATCATGCCGAGCAAACATTTAAAAAAATGGAAAACTATTTGAGACATAAACAGTTGTGCGATGTAATTTTAGTTGCTGGTGATCGCAGAATTCCAGCTCACAGGTAAATTGTTTTCTGTATTTCTGTATGTGTGAAATATTTCCTCGATAATTTGGTTATGTATATTGAGGTAACCTACTTCAATTGACTATTATGTTTTGGGGAAGGGGTGTAGTTCATGGGATTTCCACCCAAAAAATAGTTCAAATGAAATTATTACACATTTGGTGATCCTCAAAGGGTCATTTTCCTGCTGTAAAAGCACAATAACAAAACATACTGGCCTCAGATAGGTTGGTATTGTTTTGTATAGACTTCAGCTGCTAAAAGAAGCTTTTATGCCATATTCTACCTATTAAATACTTACAGTAAACTCAATGGAAATTAAAGCTTGTGGATATTTAGAAGAAGAAAAGCTGGTGAATTAGAGTAGCACAAAGTCTTAAGAGTTTTTAAAATAGCCACATCTATCCCAACTTATGTTTGCTGATTTCTAAGAAGTAGGAAAAGCAGTGCTAGGGAAAAAAAAGCCTTTACTACAAATTACATATTATTTCTTGAAATAAGAAAATAAAAGAGCTGTTTAATAAAGAATAATTCATTTTCATATAATTCTGTATTCATTTGTTCATTGTTAATCACCACTATGATTCTCAAAGGCTTTGTTTCTTTCTTTTTTTTTTTTTTTGATGCCTTCACTAATTAACGCTCTGTCCCAAAGATTTTTTTTAAACCTTCCAAAATGAGATAACATCGCAAAAAGCCTTCTAGATATTGGCTTAGGCAAAGACTTCATGACCAAAAACCCAAAAGCAAATGTAACAAAAACAAAGATAAATAGATGGGACTTAATTAAACTAAAAAGCTCTGCACAGCAAAAGAAAGAATGTGAGTTAACAGACAACCCACAGAGTGAGAGAAAATCTTCACAATCTATACATCAGAGAAAGAACTAATAATCCAGAATTTACAAAAAAAAAAAAAAATCTTCACAATCTATACATCAGAGAAAGAACTAATAATCCAGAATTTAAAAAAAAAAAAAATCAGCAAAAAAAAAAAGTCGTATCAAAAAGTGGGTTACGGACATGAATAGACAGTTTGTGAAAGAAGATATACAAATAGCCAACAAGCATATGAAAAAGTGTTTAACATCACTAATTATCAGGGAGATGCAAATCAGAACCACAATGCGATACCACCTTACTCTTGCAAGAATGGCCACAATCATAAAATCAAAAAATAATCAATGTTGGCATAGATATTGGTGAAAAGGGAACACTTTTACACTATTGGCAGGAATGTAAACTAGTACAAACACTACAGAAAAGTGGGGAGATTCCTTAAGGAACTAAATGTTAAAAAAAAAAAAAAACAAAAAACTAAAAGTAGGTCTACCGTTTGATCCAGTAATCCCACAGTACTAGCTATCTACTCAGAGGAAAAGAAGTCATAATATGAAAAAAGATACTTGCACACACGTTTATAGCAGCACAATTCGAAATTGCAGCCCAAATGCCCATCAGTCAAGTGGATAAAGAAAATGTGGTGTATACATATATGGTGGAATACCACTCAGCCATAAAAAGGAACAAAATAATGGGATTCTCAGCAACATGGATGGAACTGGAGACTTGTTTTAAGTGAAGTAACTCAATAATAGAAAACCAAACATCACATGTTTGCACTCATAAGTGGGAGCTAAGGTATGAGGATGCAAAGGCATAAGAATGATACAATGGGCTGGGTATGGTGGCTCACGACTTGTAATCCCAGCACTTTGGAAGGCTGAGGTAGGTGGATCACTTGAGGCCAGGAATTTGAGACCAGCCTGGCCAACATGGCAAAGGTCTGTCTCTTCTAAAAATAAAAAAACTAGCCAGGCGTGGTGGCGTGAACCTGTAATCCCAGCCACTGGGAGGCTGAGTCTGGAGTATTGCTTGATCCTGGGAGGCAGAGGTTGCAGTGAGCTAAGATCATGCCACTGCACTCCAGCCTGGGTGATAGAATGAGACTCTGTCTCCCAAAACAAACAAGCAAAAAGAATGATACAGTGGACTTTGGGGACTTGGGGTAAGGGATGGGAGGGGAGTAAGGGATAAAAGACTACACATTGGGTACAGTGTACACTGCTTGGGGGATGGGTAAACCAAAATCTCAGAAATTATCACTAAAGAACTTATTCATGTAACAAAACACTACCCATTCCCCAAAAACCTATTAAAATTAAAAAAAAAATTTTTTTAAACTTCCAAAGTGGAAATAAAATCATTAGGAAGAATTGGCTTGGTCTTACAGTTTTCAGTGACTCAATTAGCATACATTATTGAGATATTACTGTATACTGTGACAGAAGTCCAGCTTATGAACATGGGTTTGTTAAAAAGCTATTTCAACCTGAATTTCATAGAGGCACCTCAACTTCTATTTCCAAAACTGAACTGATTACCCTACCTGCCATGCTTGTGTGAGCCATGAACATGTCATTTAGATGACTGTTGCAAAAGCCTCATAACTGATCCTCCCTTCCTCCACTCTTTGCCCGTACATTCTGTTTTAACATAGCTACCTGAGTGATCCTTTAAAGTGGAACTCAGATTCAGTCATGTCTTTGATCAAATCGTTCATTGACTCTTCATGTCAGTAAGTGTGAAAGACAAAGTACATGTAATGGCGTACATGATCCAGCCTCCTGTTACCTCTCTAGTATTCTGTCCTATTGGTCTCTTTCTTGATCAGTCAGCGTCAGCCACACACAACCTCTTGTAGTTCCTTGTGTGTGCCAGGCATGCTGCTCCTGCCTTTGGACTTTTGCACTATTTCTTCTGCCTGAAGGCTGTTCCCAGATACCTGCATAACCAAATCCTAAACCACCTTCAAATCTTGGCCCATGTCATCTTCCAGTGAGACGACCTATTTAAACTCACCACGCTTTCCCCATTTGCCTTTACCCTACTTTTTCCCCCTTAGCACTTATCACCTTTTAATATACTATAGAATTTACTTTTACTGACCATTGTCTCCCTACCCTCTAAATGTAAGAATCCATAAGAGAAGGGATCTTTTGTCTTATTTTGTACCCTGATGTATCATTTCAGGTATCTAGAACAGTACGCATTGTACACACAGTAGTTACTGGACACACCTAAGTGTTTGCTCATTAAATGAATCAATAAATAGGCAATTTTCGGAAGGAGCAATCTGAATGGCCAATAAACATTTGAAAAACCTCACTAGCAATCAGATAAATGAAAATTGAAACAAAGAGATACCATTTAACACTTCATAGATGGCCCAAAATTTTAACATCTGACAATATTATGGAGAAAATGTTAGTCTTATACAATGCTGGTGGGGTCTAAATTGGTATCTTACTCTGGCAATCTTATGACTCAGCAGTGCCACTCATGGGGAGGGAAGAAAATGGAATTAGGAGAGACCCAACGATTATCTGTATCATAATTTTTATTTTAAAAATGAAAATATTTAAAATCGAATCAAGTGTGCTGACACAGAAATATCTTCAAGACATTATCCAATGAAAAAATGCCTGTTTCAGAAATACAGCTGGGTTCTATGACTCACACCTGTAATCCCAGCATTCTAGGAGGTCAAGGTGGGCTGATCACTTAAGGCCAGAAGTTTGAGATCAACCTGGCCATCGTGGCAAAACCCCATCTCTAATAAAAACAAAAAAATTAGCTGGACGTGGTGGACATACCTGTAATTTCAGCTACTCTGGAGGCTGAGGCAAGAGAATTGCTTGAACCCAGGAAGCAGAGGTTGCAGTGAGCCGAGATCATAGCATGGCACTCCATCCTGGGAGACAGAGTGAGACTCTGTATAGAGTTAAAAAAAAAGGATATGTATCATTTAAAATTTATTATATATGACTATCAAAAACTTAAGAGATAGAGCTAATGTATTTTATAATTATAAGAATAGATTTATAGTGTTATTACAACATAATTTTTAAACAAAATACAGACTAAAATAATAATAGAATATTGGCTGGGCACGGTGGCTCATGCCTGTAACCCCAGCACTTTGGGAGGCAGAGGTGGGCAGATCACCTGAGGTCAGGAGTTTGAGACCAGCCTGGCCCACATGGTGAAACCCCATCTCTACTAATCATATAAAAATTAGCCAGGCGTGGTGGTGCATACCTGTAAATCCCAGCTACTCTGGAGGCTGCCAGAAGAATTACTTGAACCTGGGAGGCAGAGGTTGTAGTGAGCTGAGATTGCACCACTGCACTCCACTGTCTCCAAAAAATAAATAAGTAAATAAAAAGAATATTATAAACATTTAAAACTTGCTAGCAAAAATCATTTTCAAATGTCTACCATATATTCACTACTTCTATAATTAATTTTTTTAAAAAGGCTTAGGTTATTTTTAAAAATGATAATTTTTTTAAATATATGTATATTTTATTGCATTTTAAGTTCTGGGGTACATGTAAAGAACATGCAGGACTGTTGCATAGGTACATACATGGCAATGTGGCTTGCTGCCTCCATCCTCATCACCTATATCTGGCATTTCTCCCCATGTCATCCCTCCCCAACTCCCTGCCCTGCACTGTCCCTCCCATAGTTCCCTCCAACAGACCTCAGTGTGTGATGCTTCCCTCTCTGTGCCCATATGTTCTCATTGTTCAACACCCACCTATGAGTGAGAACATGTGGTGTTTGATTTTCTGTTCTTGTGTCAGTTTGCTGAGAATGATGGTTTCCAGGTTCATCCATGTCCCTACAAAAGAC